TGAGCCCAAAGAACCCAGGGAGGTCAAGTTTGGGTAGGCAGGAGGTGAGGGCCCAGTAATGGAGCGGGAAGCCCCAGGAGTCACACACCCAAAGTCACCCTGGGGTGATTGGTGAGGGCAGGGACTGGGCTTCTTGCTGAAGGGGCAGGGCTGATTGACAAGACTTTGGTGGGGGCAGCCCAGAGGTGCCGGGGTTGGGGGGCCCAGTTTGGTGTGCCTCAGGAGTGATATGGACTCTGGTAGTGGTCTTGTCGTCAGAGGGGATCTGTGGCTGGGTTGGGGGGCCATGACCTGGCGCATTTTTACCTTTCTCTTGGCTAAGGCCAGTTTACTCTGTCGAGTTTCTTCTGCCATCGCAGGGTGGGAAGGGAAGCGGGATTGGGGCTACGTCAGCAAAATCCCAGCGAGCACTGATCAACGCCTCCAGTCACCTACCAGGCAGCTGAGCAACTGAACCAGAGGAGGCGTAACCAGGGCTCCAGTAGAATGCAGAAAAGGGGCGTGGCCTTAATGCTCCAAGCCCATTGGTCAATTAGAAAGATGAAAGGGAATTGGGGCGTGGCCAATCAGCAGGCAGCAATGTGTCCAGAGGGGCCTGTGGCTCACAAGGAAAGCTGCCCATGCAACCACTGTCCCCACCCACTCTGAGAGAGGGAAGGGGCCGCCCAATCTGGGAGAGGGAAGGGGCCGGCTTTTGTTTTAAAAGCTTTAAAACTTTAAAAACAAATGTGTGTATACTTTATATATGTGTGTGTCTGTGTGTGTGTATGTGTTCCTCCAGAGCTGTCTTCATTATCGAGCTTCTATGCAAGGTCTTTGATTTTGGTCTGTATTTTTCATCTTCAAATACAGTACAAAAATTACCAGTATTACCTTAACTGAGATACAGAGCCTATAAAAATGGAAAATCTATAGCATGCTTGATGGTTAATGAAGCAGACTATATTATCCAAATTCCAATAAGATAAGATAATCACAATGATTTCTCTTTTTTGGAAAAACATTTCTTTTATTCTCTTATGTTCTTGTTACGATTTTTTTTTCTTAAACAAGAAACAAGTCTAATATCTGTAGAAACACAAAGCTTTTGTGCCTCTGACTTTGTGATCTGCCCGTCTCAGCCTCCCAAAGTGCTGGGATTACAGGCTTGAGCCACCGCGCCCGGCCTACTTCTATATTTTCTACAGATCATCTTTGTAACAAGAAGGAAGCAAACCAAATGAAAATGAAATGAGTTCTCTCAAAAAGAATTAAGATAAGAAGAAGGCACACAAAGTAATATAAAATGTATCTTATGGTTTATATAAAATTTTTAATAAAAGTACCTTCTTTGCTCCAAGCTACACTCTGGCTTTGCCTTTGAGTCAGGTGGCATTTCTTTGCACGATGACCGGTTCTATTGAGTAGGCACTGCTTCAGCCCTACAGGAAGAACGAAACATCTCCGGAACACAGCAGTATTCCTGATTCCCATTTGAGAAGGCCTAACAAAATGGCATATGCCTCAACAGCAGCAGATCGGTGTTAAAATGTCTGGAGACAAGGGGAAAAAGTAAAATTGGACCATTTCCAGAATCTCACCAAAGCCAACAAACTGGCGTTCTAAGTGCCCAACCATGAGCAAGTTAGAACCTTAAATAAAAGTCACTCTTAATGCCGATCCTAGCATAGATTCACCACCAAGTACAATCTCATTTTACTGGTTGACCTTTTTCATTCTTTAAAGTAGGGGCTATGAAAAAAAAAAAACACTAAACTTTCTTTAAGAGAATCTAGCTTAAATCTAGCTTACATAATCAAAACACTCTATTGAGGGTGAAAATTGAGTATCATAAGAAAATCACCTGTTTTGTGAGAAGTTCCATACATAATGCTCTTCTACCCAATATATACCTTAAAGAGAAAAAAGAAAACATACAAAATAATCTCAAGAATTATTCCTGCTTAAACAATTTCTACGTGCCATTACTAAGAAAGCAAGCACACAGTAAAAATGAGAAGAGAACATGTAAGCATGAACATACTGGCTAGGGATATAGGGCTATGAGTAATTTAAAAATTCTAATGGTATTACTCTCATGTAATTGCTCTGAAATTCTAGTCAATTGTTTGAAATGACTCTTAGAACAGGATTCTTTGACATTTTTATGATGTCAAAAACTAAGAACTTAACCCTAAATATTCCAAAGAATAGGGGCAGAAGAACCTGTTTCCTTAAATGCATTTGAGTATTCTTTACAACTGCAACTTTCTCTCCCATCCTGTGATGGCCAAGAGTTTTTCCTCTGACAATGGCACTGACCTTACCCGATCCAAAATATGAACATCTGCATCGTTTCATGGTTGGAATTGTTTTTCTCCATTCTGTTGTGAGAATCAAACGGTTCAGACCATGTAGCTCCTCTCTGGGACTCCTCAAGTCCTTTCTAGATCTGAGGACTATTCTCTGAACCAAAGTCAACTTCTGGGGGTGTACCAGATCTCCCATTAGAAAAGTATTTATATCAAGACGTTTTAACCTTTTAACTCTTTCTCAAACAAAATGATTTCATTTCTCCTTTACTGTTACTTTAAACTTCAAAATACACAGATAGCATGCCTAAATTACAATCAAGGGAATGACAGTTTTAGAACACAAACTGTGGTAATTTTGAAAACACAAAAGCTAAGACCACTAATTAGGTCTATGTGGACACCAAGTCCACCACAACCTGTTCTGTCCTCTGGGGCTCTGCCCATACCTTTCCCTTGCCTGAGATTCCTTCTGCTTCCCACCCTTCCAAATGCTCTATCTCCCCCCAGAAAACCTGCCAAGAGCACTCCAGCCTGCACATCTTCCATTCCAGCTAACCAAAGGCATCCTTGTGTTGTCTAAACTGAATTATTTTGCAGAGAAGGCATCTAAAAACTTCTACTGTAGACTATTCACCTTCATAATTGTTATCATGACATTATTCAATAATAAAATGAGGGCAAGAAGTCCTCTTCACTCCCTTATCCTGGAGAATCCAAGTCAGTGTCTTTCCCACTTGCTTTGCCCAAACCCTGGGACCTTTCAAAGTAAAAGTTTAATGGAAGGGAAAGAAAATCTAAAAGAAAAACTCTCCAAAAAATTAAACTCAGGCAAAGAACCATGAGATTAAAAATTTTTATTCTTTATGTATTTCATTTCTGAAATGTAGAAATCTGTCTCCCACTCCTTAAATCTGCCACTGGGCTAAGAGAGTTTTGTATAGAATGTGCACTTACTGATTTAACAGAATTAGAACATCCAGGCACTCACTGAGATTTTGCTTCCACAATCACTCGAAGTCTAGTGATTAGTTAATGAGTTAACACCACACTTGATCTTCACATTTTGGAAACTCTGACAGTAGATAGGGACTTGTTTTGGGAAAGGAAGTATACAGTAGATATTGCTACCCATTGCCCAGCCACCACCACCTTTCCTTTAAAGTACCCCCACTCTTCCTTTAAGGTTTCAGAGTCTCAGAAAGTGGGAAGAAAGGAAGTTTTTGCATTTTCAGATCAAAAGAAAGTACATTTGTGCAACCACATAATACCTATGCAAAGGTTTGTTGAAATCTAAACACAAGACAGAAGTAGTTCTAGCACCTCCGCCAAAAGTAAGGTCAGTAAACTGTTCCTTAATATACACTTTCAGCAGCATCGACACCTAAAAGTGTTTGACTTTACTACTGTACTAAATTAAATTACATTCATTTTGTCAATATGTGTTCCAAATTCCTACTGCTCTTTGTCTCCAAGGGGTTCCTGCTGAATATTGAGACAGTTGAAGATTACTAGGGGAAAAAATTCTGAATAATTGAAGTAAGGGTCATCTAAAGATAATACGCCACATATACAGACGCAGTCATATTTTCAACTTTAAAAAAGTTTAGTTGTCAAAGTTGTACAGCAAATCCTATCCTAAGCTTAGCCTCTTCAGGCATTTGATTTATAATCACTGTAAAGAAAAGCCGGTCACAAAATGCCACATTTTGTATGATTCTAGTTATATGAAATGTCCAGGAGAGGCAAATCTACAGATAGAAATTAGATCAGAGGTTGCCAGGATCAACGGTGGGGGAGACGGGTACAGGAAGTGACTGCTAATGGGCACGCGGTTTCTTTTTGGGGAGATGAAAACGTTCTGAAATTAGGGAGTGGTAATGGTTGCGTAACTCTGAATACACTAAAAACCACTGAACTGTACACTTGAAGGGTGAGGCTTATCATACAAAAACTATATCACAATAAAGCTGTTAGTTTAAAAAATGTTTGGCTATGTCAAGAAACAAAGAAATAGGGTCATAGCTAGAAGATGTGGGATATAAAATACATGGAACAAAACTGCTCAATAATCTATCTAGAATCACACAGTACTTAAGCTTTACCCTGACTGAAATCATGAGCTTTGTGTTTTATTGGTATTTCACATTTTTTACTTCTTCTAAGTCAGCCAATAATTCCTTCTCCTCACTTAATAGTTGACTACAAAGACCAAGCCATTTTGATTCTGCCGCCAATGAGCTTTCACATTGAATTCCTCCTTCCATCCCCATGACTACCAAACCAATGTAAGTTCTCCTTACTTCACTCTAAGACAACAGCGTGGCCCTCAACTACTGTCAGGTGCAGTGGCTCACACCTGTAGTCCCAGCATTTTGGGAGGCCAAGGCAAGTGGATCACTTGAGGCCAGGCGTTCAAGACCAGCCTGGTCAACATAGTGAAACCCTGTCTCTACTCCTACCTAGGTGACAGAGCGAGACTCCGTCTCAAGAAAACAACAACAACAACAACAAACCCCAAAACAAACCACACACACAAAGAATGAGGAGGAAGTTTGTTTAAAACAAGAAAATCAAAATTTAAGAACATAGACTTTCAATTAAAGAAAAAAAAAGATGGACTTTCAAGACAAAAAGACAGGGATAAACTTAATATTGCCAAAAAAAAAAAAAGATCAGCGACATCAACACGACCCTGGGGGCCCGTGGACAACTCCTGGCTGCAGGTGCAGAGCGTCCTGGCTGGACGCAGGTACCAGGGCTGCCCCCATGGCCCCAAAGCACCCTGGCCTCCATGGCTGAGCCTGGGGGCTCTTGGAACAGGCTCTGTGCCCAAGCTGGCAGACGTGGGTGCTGTTTGGAATCGTCAGAGAGCTCGTGGTTTATGGTGGAAGGACTGAGAGCTGGGAGGGGGTTGTATGTGGGGCTGTACTCTGAGGCCACCAGAGGCCTAAGAATGTCATCCTGGGCACGCCGTACCTGTTGTGCCGTCTGAGTCATGCTGCCAGGGCAGGGCATCCAGCTCCCAGCCTGGGAGTGCTGAGAGCCAAATCCACTGCAGAG